CAGCGCGCGAGGGAAGCAGAAGCAGAGAGTACGGCCATCTCAGGGCCGAAGAGAAAGAGAGCCGTGGAAGCGGCGGTGGCGGGGAAGAAACGGCGGNTACAACAAGGTCGAGGACGGGGCGGCATGGTTCATGAGGAAATGGCACACGCAGGAGGCGGAAGCGTCCGCGAAGCGTCAGCGCGCGAGGGAAGCAGAAGCAGAGAGTACGGCCATCTCAGGGCCGAAGAGAAAGAGAGCCGTGGAAGCGGCGGTGGCGGGGAAGAAACGGCGGCCGGGCACTGCTGCAGAAGCGAGTAGGGCGGCCGAGGCAGCACTTGTGGCGAACTATGTACCCGGCTGATGTTGCTGCGCCCTGTTTCCCTCCCTCCTGTATGCTATACTCCTTTATGTATGTCCTTTGTATTGCCTTCGGCCTCTGTGCTGTGTTTCTTTTTTTCATGACCTCCCTGCCTACTCTGCTGTGTTGGGTACCTTGATCTCGCTTTGCTGTTGCCTTTGTTTTTGTACGTCTGGCTGTCTGCCCATCTGCCGCCTCTTTGTCCTGTTTGCACCGTTACTCCCATGCCCTGGTGCGTAGTGCCTGGTGCTGGTACGTTACCCTTTGATATTTTCTTTGGGCGGGTGTGGGAAGCGTCTTCCTTTATTTTTGTTTTTGTTTTATTTTGATCGGTTTCCGAGGGCTATTTTCTCGAACGGTCGTTGCGATACCTGTTCTTTTCTTTCTATCATTTTATTTTCTTTTTCCGTGTGGCTTGTACCCTATTTTTGTTTTGTTTCCCCGCGGCGTCGTATGTGCCGGGTTTTGAGACCATGGGCTCCCCATTTTTTGTGGACTATAGAGCTAATGTGAGAAACAACAACAACAACAACAACAACAACCACAAGACTACATCATAGATTCTGCTTGAGAAAAACAAAATCTTACATTGATTGTAGGGCTTAGCGGCAGCCACCACGTGGGCAGAAAAATGACAAATTCTACATCATCTGGGGCCAAATGTTGTTAGAACGAAGTTCATCACCAAATTGAGTAAACTTGAGCTTAAATGAAAGATGAGCTCCATAGCAACACAAAAAAATAATAGAACAGCTTTTCGCGGGGTGAGCGGCAAGATCTGTTTTTTGAAAAATTGTCCGTTCATGGGGGGTGTCCGTTAATACCCCGGTTTACTATAGACGATATTTTCAAGAATATTCAACGCACACCCCTGTTCGATAACTCCGGTATGTGCGGTACTTGAAAGAAATGACTTTGCAGACGCTCGGACACCTCACTTGTGCTACGGTTGCAGGCTCCACACGCAATGTACACACACGCGCGCACGTCAGCCAACCACAGCAGTTAACCCGATGGATGCTAGGTTTTCGAGAAAGCACACACACACACGCAAAGGAAAAAAAAGCCGCAAAATATAGCGCGGCGAAATACGAAATGCCGAGGGCGGAAAACATGGGTAATTACCCGCCGTCGAGCTGTGCCTACACGCGACCCACAATTGCTTGGCAATCATGTCGGAGGTTTCAAGTGCGGGGGGTAGCGCGATCTCAGGAGCTAGCGGTGGCGGCCCTTCCTCTGCGGATGTGGTAGCTGCCTCTGCGGACCCGTTGGCAGCGATGTAGAGCTGTTGGATGGACCATGGGTTGGGGCTGCGGGAGGGGATCAGGATGATCTGTAACCATTCTGTCTCGCACTCTCTTGCGTTTTACCAGTAGTGGCAGGTTGGCTGCCCGAACATGCTTGTGTGTGCATCCTAGCAGTACGGAGGTTGGCGCTGTTAGGTGTTTCTGGTAGTGACGGGGTTGAAATTTGTTTCGTAGCGAAAGAAGTAGAACATTGGAGTAGGAACAATAGTGCTGCTGTTTCATGGTGCTGTTCCATGGTACTTACTGCTCTTAGTTGTTTTGGCTGATAGCTGCTGTTTTTTTTCTCTTTTTTGGTTGAATGGACAATTGCCGATCCAATCGACATACCAATGTGTTTCATGTCCTTCATACTCCACTTGTGGTATGCGACGATGACCTACCTACCCATACAGCAGGGCTACATGCCAGCACTGGCATGGTTGCAGCGATGAAAGTTGCCATGGCCAGCACCGGCATGGTTGCAGGGGTGAAAGTTGCCATGGCCGACACTGGCATGGTTGGAAGGGTGAACGTTGCCCCGAAATCGCTGGCAATTAACTACTATCCTACTGTAGGTTGCGAGTCACCGCACCCCTGTGCGGTAACTCCGGACCCTGTGAGGAAATCGAATTAAACAATGTATGCATTTAATTTTCATCGCACCCCTGTGCGATGACTCCGGACCGTGCGCTAACCCGCAACCTTACGGTAGCGAAGAAAGCTCTCGTGAGTACCAAACTTCACGTTAGCACCGTTGACGAGGGAAAGGGACGGCTGGACCCTTCTCGCGGTATAAATAAAATTCAGCACGCACCGCAGGAGGAAGGTGGGGCATTAAAAGAAATAAATAGAAGAGAAAAAGCCCTGGTGTTTACCCCCTCCTGTGTGACCCTGGATGGTTGTAGTTGTACGAAAAAATACACTGAAAGTGTAGCACTCTGCATACGCTGAAAAGTGTAGTACACGTCTCACCACGAAAAATGGGGGGATTGTCGCCATGACAAAAAGGACGAAAACACACACACACACACACACTTCCAGGGACCTTGATTTTTACCCGCTGGCACTGACGTTTTTCATTGGTCAGCCGGTTAGCGCGGTCGATGCTAATAATAATAATAAAAAAAACACACACACAATAGGTTGGGATTTCGATAGTAGTACAAACGAAAACGATCATCATGATGGCGATGCCGGCAACGGCACGCTGACTCCACCACAGTGGATGAAGGAGCGGCATCTGCCGCCCAAGTATGTAGCGGCAGCGTTTAATCGACATTTCCCTGGCGCCCCGATATGCCGGCCCGCAGACAACCCGGAGAAGCGCGCCGCTGCGGCGATGAAAGCGGCGAAAGTTACACCAGCGATGAGAAGCCGGATCGGGAAGGGAGAGATCATGGATGTGCTTTTGAAGGAGCCGGCCATGGCCGTTTTCGCGATGACACAAGTTATGTTCGCTCTCTACGTGCACGAGGTGGTCTACGTGCACGAGGTGGTCTACGTGCACGAGGTGGTCTTCTTCGAATAATTGGTCGGCATTCCATCTTTCCAGGCAAGTGCATGAATGAGCGAAGGAGCCGATGACGGTACCGGACCCTTTTAGCCTTTGTAAGATGTTGCGCGTGCGTCCCGAAGATGCGTGCTGAAAGGTGAAAAAAAAACACAAAAAGTCGTCGCACATTCAAATTGTTGTTGTGGCTAGTTTTCTGTTGATAGTGTGTTTTGGTTGTCACGGATTACAGTGTTACGCACACTCATAAACTATCGGCTCATGCCAATGTCGACGTTGTTGGTCGGTATGCCCCCCTCCCTTCCGCTGCGGCAAGTCCACAACTCTTGTTTGAAGTTGGCATGACGGGAACCTTCAGAAGTTCTGAGAGATAGCGCCGAACTCTGTTTTGTTGGAGGGAAGTTTTGCTCTTGATGAGACCTGCCGCCGCCGCACTCAAGAGTCTCTGTCAGTGGTTAGCCCTCTCACCTCATACAAGGAACACCGCCTGAACAGAATCGAGGATCGGAACAAGGCATGACGTAAAGAGCCCTCTCCCCCTGTGCTGATATCTTTTCAGGTGACAACCCCCGGCGGGGCGAAGGGAGTGAGGATGATCTGTCCAGGATGCAAATCGAATTCGGAAGTGAAACCTCCTGGAGTATCAGGGCATGGCTTCCCAAATGCGGGTGCTCACAAGGCAAGCAGCACGTTTGCGGTATGAACTTGTTTTTCGACCTGATTTCCTGTTTGTTTTGGTTCGCTGTTGGTTGTTGTCTCTGTTGCTTGTGAGCCGTTCGTTTATCTCGGTAGTCCCGGACGAGCCATCTGTTGTAAGAACATGCGCGCTTAGTCTTAGCGCCCTTCTCATTTCCGACACGTTCTGAACGCCGTCTTACTCCGTATTCTTCTCGTTGTAATTCGCCCTCTTCGTACGGCAGATACACGCAGTACCCGACGTTGGCAGGGTGGTGGTTCCATTGGCGGGCAGGTATTCCTGCACGGCCTCAGGGTGCCCTCTCGTCTTGGAAAGTGCCAAGAAGGCGGCCAACAAAAACGAGTGGTCATTGCGAATGACGGGTGGGACGAGGCCACCATCCGCGAGCATGGTCCAAACGGCGCTTCCTTGACCACAATGGACGACAGGCACGGTAATGAAGCGTATAGTGTTTAGCTTTAATCTTGACATTGCATTGCAGTGCGAAAATTACACGCACAAGGATCGCCTATTCTTACATGTTCTCGCTGGGTCACTTGACCACTGAAATTGGGCAGGTACATGCAGTTGCTACCTGAGGATATTGTCTCGCGATTGCCATTTCGCTACTTTAGGCAAAATGGCACGTCAGAGACTCTACTGGACCAAGTGAGGACGACGGAGGGCGATCTGCAGGTGCAACCCTAACCTGAAAGCGGTTCCTTTTGTTTTCGATCGTGATGTGTTTGGGGAGCTGGGTTGCACTCTGCTTGTCCTCCTTGATTTTCGCTGTGATAAGAGTGGCTCCACTGAAAACTCGTTGGTCATCCGCCCCACGTGTTTGCTGTTGCTTGCTCTACTGAACATGAAGACGTATCGCAGGATCCTGGTCGCAGGCGAGCAAGGCCGAGAGCTTCGAGAAATGCATAGGTACATCCGGTTTGCGGCGAAGCATCGGAGTGCGGAGCACGCCCTGTGGCCAGGCTGGAAGTTCAGCCGCGGGACCCTCATCTCCACTCCGTCCATCGTCGTGTTGAACACGATTTACAAGGCTGGGCACGACGATGTAAGAGGAGGAAGCGTGGATACTTTTCTGGTACTCGTGCGTTTTCTCGTGTCTGCTCGGGTTTTGTTCCGTCGTGTTCAGATTCTCCTCTGCCGCCACACCGATCACAATGTTGTGTTCTGTCGTCATCCACAGGACAAGGAGCACATGCAACGCGAAATCCACTCGCAGTATTGGGGGCAGTTCCTGTGCATGGATGGCACGTGGCGCATCGGTTTGAGGGTCATTGATTCTCCGGACTGCCTATTTTTCCTGTTGGGGGAGGACGCCAAGGTTCACGCGGGCGGAGCTGTGCAAAGCGAAAGGAAGGAGGAAATATACCTCCTCCTGAAGAGGTACACTATCGTCGAATTTGATGTCGGCGAGATTGTTGCGGGACTGCTTCCTCGGGACATGCGCGAAAACAACTGTCCGCTACATTATCGCAAAATGCCTTTGTCGAGAGCTGCGTTGAGTATCGTAAAGCATCATATATGTGTGGTAGCGAAAGATGCCACGTTTAGTCCGCTCTTACTCGTTCTCATCACCCGCACAACGCCGCAGGTACGCGGAGAGACGGAGGAGGAACGGCACGCTGCTCGCTCTGGAGTGGTTTTACGACGACCTCTGCTGTAGAGGGGCTGATGATGTCACCAAGGGGTGGATACTCGATATTTTCGAGGGAGTGATGCGCAGGGCACTTGCGGATTCTTTCCACTTTGGGCAGGTAACAAAGAGTTTCCAGAAGCTTGTGCAAAATCCTTAGTGTGATGGTACATTACGCCGGAAGTCGCTGCGGACGAGACCCTCGAGGGTTGTGCATTTAGCCGCCTCTGTAATGAACCATAATGAACCACTCCGTTCGTTGTCGTCGCGTGCCCCCCGCTCGCAGCACACTGATGGTTTGTCCACCGCCACCGCCGCCGCCTGTTGCTACCTTCTGCTCCATAGACTCTTGTGGGTGCCACGACATCGAAAAACCACCCAAGAAAGGCCGTATTTGCGGCGGGGGTTGGACAAATTCTCCGCACCAAGCACCAGCCGGACGTTAAAGTGGTAGCGGCATACTTGAAGCGGGTAATCCCGGGGATGTCGGAGATGGAGGCCGAGGTAATGGCCAAAACGAGAGCGTGGTCGCCGTTCGTACGGACGTATTCCCGGCCTGCACAAGAGGTTGAGAACGACCTGGTGAAGTACGTAGGCGACTACGTCAAGCTTGACCAGGCTGCCATCGCCAGG